AATGGATGTCAAAACTGCATTCCTTAAATGGTTATTTCTTAAAGAAGAGTTGTATATGATGCAACCAAAAGGTTTTGTCGATCCTAAAGGTACTAACAAGGTGTGCAAGCTCCAGCGATCCATCTATGGACTGGTGCAAGCCTCTCGGAGTTAGAATATACGCTTTGATGAGTTGATCAAAGCATATAGTTTTATACAGACTTGCGGTGAAGCCTGTATTTACAAGAAAGTGAGTGGGAGGCCTACAACCTTTCTGATAATTATATGTGAATGACATATTGTTCATCAGAAATGATGTAGAATTTTCTAGAAAGCATAAAGGAGAGTTTGAAAGGAGATTTTCAAAGAAAGACCTCGGTGAAGCTGCTTACATATTGGGCATCAAGATCTATAGAGATAGATCAAGACGCTTGGTAAGAATTTTTCAATGAGTACATACCTTGACAAGTTTTTGAAAGTGTTCAAAATGGATCAGTCAAAGAAGGAGTTCTTGCCTATATTACAAGGTGTAAAGTTGAGTAAGACTCAAAGCCCGACCACAGCAGAAGATAGAAAGAGAATGAAAGTCTGTGTGCCTTGCTATGAGTTTGGCAAGGGGGTACAATAGTGATCCAGGAGTGGATCACTGTATAGCGGTCAAAGTTATCCTTAGTTACCTGAGAGGACTAAGGAAGTATTTCTCGGTTATGGAGGTGATAAAGAGTTCGTCGTAAAGAGTTACGTCGATGTAAGCTTTACACCAATCCAGATGACTCTGAGTCTCAATCTGGATACATATTGAGAGTGGGAGCAATTAGCTAGAGTAGCTCCATGCAGAGCATTGTAGACATAGAAAATTTGCAAAATACATATGGCTCTGAATTTAGCAGACCCATTGACTAAACTTCTCTCGCAAGCAAAACAAGATCACACCTTAGTACTGGGTGTTAATCACATAGCGATGTGAACTAGATTATTGACTCTAGTAAACCCTTTGGTTGTTGGTCACATGGCAATGTGAACTATGGGTGTTAATCACATACAGATGTGAACTATTGGTGGTAAATCACATGGTGACGTGAACTAGATTATTGACTCTAGTGCAAGTGGGAGACTGAAGGAAATATGCCCTATAGGCAATAATAAAGTTGTTATTTATATTTCCTTATATCATGATAAATATTTATTATTCATGCTAGAATTGTATTAACCGGAAACTTAGTACATGTGTGAATACATAGACAAAACAAACTGTCCCTAGTATGCCTCTACTTGACTAGCTCGTTAATCAAAGATGGTTATGTTTCCTGACCATAGACATGTGTTTTCATTTGATGAACGGGGTCACATCATTAGAGAATGATGTGATGGACAAGACCCATCCGTTAGCTTAGCATAATGATCGATAAGTTTTATTGATGTTGCTTTCTTCATGACTTATACATGTTCCTCTGACTATGAGATTATGCAACTCCCAAATACCGGAGAAACACCTTGTGTGCTATAAAATGTCACAACGTAACTGGGTGATTATAAAGATGATCTACAGGTGTCTCCGAATGTGTTTGTTGGGTTGGCATAGATCGAGATTAGGATTTGTCACTCCATGTATCGGAGAGGTATCTCTGGGCCCTCTCGGTAATGCTCATCACTATAAGCCTTGCAAGCAATGTGACTAATGAGTTAGTTGCGGGATGAAGCATTACAGAACGAGTAAAGATACTTGCTGGTAATGATATTGAACTAGGTATGAAGATACCGACGATCGAATCTCGGGCAAGTAATATACCGATGACAAAGGGAACAACATATGTTGTTGTGAGGTTTGACCGATAAAGATCTTTGTAGAATATGTAGGAGCCAATATGAGCATCCCTGTTTCGCTATTGGTTATTGATCGGAGATGTGTCTCAATCATGTCTACATAGTTCTCAAACCCGTAGGGTCCGCACGTTTAACATTCGATGACGATTTGTATTATGAGTTATGTGTTTTGGTGACCGAAGTTTGTTCGGAGTTCCGGATGAGATCACGGACATGACGAGGAGTCTCGAAATGGTCGAGAGGTAAAGATTGATATATTGGAAGGTGGTATTCGGACATCGGAAGGGTTTCAGAGTGTATCGTGTACAAACCGGAGTACCGGAAGGGTTAACGGGACCCCTCGGTGGAATATATGGGCCATATGGGCCATGGGAGGGAGGCTAACCAGCCCACAAGGGGCTGGTGCGCCCCCCACAAGGGAGGAGGCCAAATTGGACTAGGGAAAGGGGGCGCCACCCCCCTTTCCTTCTCCTACTCCCTCTCCTTCCCCCTTTCCACCTCCCTAAGAAGGAAAAAAAGAGGGGGAGGGGGCGAAGCCTACTAGGAGTGGAGTCCTAGTAGGACTCCCCCCTCCCTTGGCGCGCCCTTGGTGGCTGGCCTCCTCCTCCCTCCTTTATATACGAGGGCAGGGGCACCCCAAAGGCACAACATTGTCTTAGCCGTATGCGGTGCCCCCCTCCACCGTTTACTCCTCTGATAGTATCATCGTAGTGCTTAGGCGAAGCCCTATGCGGATCACATCATCAACACCATCACCACGCCGTTGTGCTGACGAAACTCTCCCTCGACCCTCTGCTGGATCAAGAGTTCGAGGGACGTCATCGAAACTGAACGTGTGTTGAACTCGGAGGTGTCGTACGTTCGGTACTTGGATCGGTTGGATCGTGAAGACGTTCGACTACATCAACCGCGTTAACTAACGCTTCCGCTTTCGGTCTATGAGGGTACGTGGACACACTCTCCCCCTCTTGTTGCTATGCATCTCCTAGATAAATCTTGTGTGATCGTAGGAACTTTTTTGAAATTGCATGCTACGTTCCCCAACAGACACTTCATCATATTTGGGCCTAAGGGAAGGCATTGTGAAGTAATAAGTAGATGATGGGTTGCTAAAATAACAACAGGTTAAACCCTAGTTTATGCGTTATTTCGTAAGGGGCTGATTTGGATCCATATGTTTCATGTTATGGTTAGATTTATCTTAATACTTCTTTTGTAGTTGTGGATGCTTGTGAGAGGGAGTAATCATAAGTGGGAGGCTTGTTTAAGTAAGAGCGGCACGCAAGCACAGATCTACCCACATATCAAATTATCAAAGTAGCGAACGCGAATAAATAAACATGATGAAAGTAACTAGATGATAATTCTCATGTGTCCTCGAGAACGCTTTGCTTATTATAAGAGGCCTTCCAGCTTGTCTTTTGCTATAAAAAGGATTGGGCCACTTTGTTGCACCTCTATTACCGTTGCTACTTGTTGCTCGTTACAAATTACCTTGCTATCAAACTATCTGTTACCGATATTTCAGTGCTTGCAGAGAATACCTTGATGAAAATCGCTTGTCATTTCTTTCTGCTTCTTGTTGGGTTCGACACTCTTACTTATCGAAAGGACTACGATTGATCCCCTATACTTGTGGGTCATCAACCCGACACCAACCCTGGGTGACTTATGCAAAACATAACTGAGCAGAGGAGAGCATGACCAGACATTCATTCCCGTGGTGAAAAAAGTGCATGCATTTGAAATTAATGATGTTTCCTCATACTAGCAACTTGTTTAATACTTGCAGCATGTAGTCGCAATGACACTGTAGTACTTCCTTCACATACCTTCCTTGCATGCATGTGGACGTATTAATGACCCCGGTTAATAAAAAAAGTTGGTTTGCGAAGCAGTCATTAAATTTTACCTTGGTGCCTGTAATTTAAGTTTGTGGCCTTGTATAAGGGAATGGAGGGAGTATCATATTTGAATTTAATATGTGTGCAGATATGTAGTTGAAATGTAGTATTTAAACTAATACTAAAAAGATTTGGCAAAAGTTATTAGGGAGTTAAGTTTAAAGGATCAGTTAGAAGCCGCATTTTTAGAGGAGCAAATATACTACTATGAAGGATACTCAAACGTTTGCCCCTCTAAATTATATGGGGTCGTCTAAATTAGGGATCGGTTAGGGATGCTCTTATGTGCTCAACACCGTTGCACATTTACAATCCGCACTAGCATTGATGTGTTACAACGCGGTTTGGGAATCGATGATACAGATCCTGCAATAGATCAATTTTTCATTGGGTTTATCTTAAATTAAACACAGGTTTCTTTATTACTTAGGCAACTGACAAATAACTATAGCTAAGTTGAATATAAAAACCATCTGAATTTGGCATTGGGATTTTCACAAGTTTTAAGTGACAGGTAAAAATTACTGTATGTATCTGAATACAGACTGAAGAATTCAAGTCTGCCGAAGATAGTCACTTATGCAGAGCGTAAGTTTGAATGAAAATAAAAGTTTGATGAGATGTGAAATCCTGCATTGCCACCATTGTGATGCAGTGAACAGATAGCTGAAAGCCTGTATTGCACATGATTTGCATATAAATCGCCACATCGCTGCCCATTCATTCGTCCTCCTGCCGCATTAGCCTTAAGAGACAGGTCATGACCGGTACGAAATGCAGGTTTCAGCAGTGAACCTCTTGGCAGCGCGCAGGCTTGTGTATTCATAGCGACTCACTTACAGTCTTCCACTGTACCGAGCCATATGCAAAAACATAACCAACGCAACAAAGCAAGCAAATGGCTTAAACAGATACAAATGCAACCGCAGATCGACAAAGATAACAGTTAAGTGAAAAGCAGTCAAGCGTACGATGATCGCATCTCAACAAAAATGCCTGCTGCTCTTGACATTTATCACATGTCACAGGCTCTATATCAGTTTTACTCAGCCTCACTGTTACAGCTCAAGGAATGCACTATCACAACATTAGGCGATGGGGGGCAAAAAAAATTAAGGGAGAGAAAACGGGAAAATAGCTCGCTCTCTGTGTAAGGCTTTACAGGTATCAACTCTCAACGAATGATCGTATGCACTTTCTTTCTCCATCGACCTTGCGGTCTCCAAACAACTGAAAGTTCCCGCTGATGACAAGAATGCGGGTGCTGTTAGCTCCTTTATCCAATTGAAGGACTCACTCAACTCCGGCCTTGGCCCCTATCCTGTAAAACAATTTCAGATTCAGTAACTTGCATGTGTGACATGATGCACAGGCAATTAAATTGTACTCCCTCCGTTCCTAAACATTTGTCTTTTCTAGAGATTTCAACAAGTGACTACATACGGAGCAAAATGGGTGAATTTACACTCTAAAATATGTCTATATACATCTGTATGTGGTAGTCCATTTGAAATCTCTAAAAAGACAAATATTTAGGAACGGAGGGAGTAACAGCATGCCTGGCTGAGTAGATACTTAGCAAGGCAAATGCTTAATCATGGATTTGACTGCTTATTTTGAGTAACTTAGGTTGTTTTCAAAATTGCATGAAAGAAGCTTACAAGCATAAATGATCCGGCTGGTTTTGTAGGCTCCCAAAATCTTGAATTGGCTGCAAGATCCAAGGGAAATGCAGCCTCTTCCAGACACAAATCCATTTACTAATACAGATGCCGAGAAGGACTATGGACAATTCAAAACAAATCGAGGAGAGAAAGAATACTGCATGGCGATCTTTCACATGAGTAATGACTCTAACCAGTCCGAGATGTATTCGTAGGCCACAAATGTCACTGCACCAGCAGGAGCCGATTTCACCACCGATGGGAAAAGCCCTTTATAGAGGCCTCCAAACCCCTCCTTAACAACTATCTCTGTTAGGGCATGGTACATGCCCTTGTATGTGCTGCTCTCAATCCGCGCCCCATACCTAGGATGACGTTTTAATCCTTCAATCTGCAAAATGTTGGAAGAAATATTAGCTCCAAAATATACAAAGGGCTCGGCATTGTCTCACAATCATACCCAAGTGATTCATAGGCACATCTAAATAGGCTAGTACTGAACTGGAACAGAGTGTCCACCACAAAATAGACATGCACATTACCTGGAATCTCTTCTTAACAACATCAAGTGGGTGACATGCAGCTTTTGAAAATGTTCCAGCTGCGAATCCACAAAGAAATAGCTGGAAGCTTGATGCCGAGTCATCCTCCTCAATTCCATATCTGTATCTATTCCATGACTATATGGGAAAAAATGGCGGTCAGGGAAGCATGGCGTAACCAAAATTCAGAGACACATACTAATCAAAGTTGAGAACAAAAATCAAGTGTAATTTTCTTATGAAGAAACAAGCTTGTCTTGAATAAATTGTTACAACACCAGTAGTTTCTTGTTACCTATATGAGCATGCTATATACTTTATGTTTCATAAAAAATGCATTTCTTGGTACCTCAATATCCCATATTCTAGAAGGATAACAAACTAAGGAAAGAGTACAACATCTAATACGATCATATGATAAAACTCGCAGCTGAGATCATCTATAGATCATCTCAAAATCATTGGAGGGTACATGTAAAACTGTGAATTTAGCTTTGTTACCATCATTGAACGTTTGAAAGTGTCGTATGAACCAAACTGCAAGCCAGCATATGGTATAATTTCAACAAGAGTTGGAGTTAAACCAGCATACAGCCCTCGAACACCACGAGTTTGAACTATATCAACAAGTGCAGACCGCATATTGGGGTAAACCTAGAGAGAAAAATAAAACTTTGTGTGAATCAACAAGAAAGCATCATGATAGAATTGTCAACTCAAGAGTATCCATCAAGCAGTTGGCTTACAATGATTGTGCAAAAAATCAATCACAGGGAATAAGTGCATAGTAATATAATGTGTGCACTTGATTTGTATTCACATGTGCATCTCAAAATACAAAATTATAGAACACACACAGCTGCAAAAAACATTTAAGAGCAAGATCACGCACAGTCCAAAAAAGACAAGGAGTGTACTTGTATTTTGTATATTGCAGTTATAAGATTTATTGTATTCCATATTGTGAATACATTTATGAATGAAAACAGCTCATATTATGAATTAACAATATCGGTTTCTATTTTAGAATCACATAAACAAATCAACATTGTACACTGAGCCTAGCTCGGTTGGTGGGAGGTGTGGGTATACACTCCCAACTCAGGTTGCAGTCCTCTCTACTTCAGAATTGGGTGATATTTCTTCTCAAGGAAAGAATAATAATATCTTTGCTCCTAGGTGTTCTCATTTAATAATTTATCAATGTTCTATCAAGTTCTATACAGAAGATAAATTCTCTGTTCAAGGCTACCTTGAAGACTTGAACTGTTGCTAACACAAAATGATTTGCCATGTACTCCCTCCGTCCCAAAATAAGTGACTCAACTTTGTACTAACTTTGTACTAAAGCTAGTACAAAGTTGAGCCACTTATTTTGGGACGGAGGGAGTATAACTTAACAACAATTTTTTTGTGCAGATAGTTGACACTTGATGGAACACAAAACTAAAAAAAGATCAGAAAAGAAAATAAGAAAAAAAATGAAGCCTGGGCTTCATGACAAAACCAAAAAAGGTGCAAGGGGAAGTCCGTTGTGTTCAAAATGAAACTGAATCAAACTCTACTGTAAAACAAAAGGATTCAACTTAATGCAATCTAACAATGATATATCCATATTATGAGTAAAGTGAGTACTAACTATCGGCATGGAAGTAAAGTACAGAAGTACTACAAATCACTGCAAGTACTCAATGTAAAGAAAGATGACCAGGGATCTAACTACAATTTTGCAAAACCAAACTAGTGGCACCATAAGTTTGCAACTAAGTTTAAATGTTCACACTCCAAGGAAACAAACAGTTCCAGAAATCACAAATAAGATCAGATTTACCTTCGGTTCACCCTGTGACGCAAGAATAGTTCTGAGAAGGTCAAATGGATATGACCCTACAGTTGCTGCACTTCCTGCGATAGCCCCACTTACGTAAGATAAGTAAGGACTTAAGTGCAGATGATCCTCTGCGAAGAAACAATAGACCAGATAAGTACTAAAGAGATGTGAAAAATCATATTAAAGCTTCAGTTCTGAAACATGGATTTGAACATTTATCATTGCACTGAGATGAGAATCCCAAATAGCAATATAATTCTGGGAGTATCAAATTTCATAATGTATCAATTGTATAAATTAAAAGTTTGGGTAAAAAACTATTATCTACTGCAAGCACTTACAAGGTTCTAGGATGACATTTGTAATCGATTTTAAAATATAGACTGAAAACCAAGCTGAAAGGGCATACCTGTTCTCGATGAACCTGATGCAAATGTTTTTAGCTTGTGTAGAACTGTGAATTGTATAGCAGTATACGGCATATACATAAACAAGGCTGGAACATTTCCTCTCCAGAATCCCTGAAACATCAGCATCTTGCACAGTAAGAGCATATTTCACGGAATTGTTTTAGATGGACTATTTAAATCAAACATAGAGCATGCATAAACCCAAGGTAGATAAACCAAAAGAAGTGCCGGGGGTGAAAAAGAAGCAAAGTAGATATCAGAATAGAAATCTAGGGAATAAACACTTCCCAAAAAAGGCAGCAACCAATGACATCACCTCATAAGTAAAAGCAATATTAACGCTACATGTCAGCCATTTGATATATTCGTGGAGAACTGATGGATTGAAGATTCTTCACAAGCAGCCAGACAACATTTCGGGCGCCCCACCTCAGGAGACGTGAAGCAGTTCAGCAATGATGAGGTCTTCTGAGCGTCACTGAGCCACGGTTGCACGTCGTCAAGAGAGAGAGAGAGAGAGAGAGAGAGAGAGAGTCAAGAGAGAGAGAGAGAGAGAGAGAGGGAGGGAGGGAGAGAGAGACTTCTGCGCCTCGCTGAGCCACGGCTGCACGTCGTCTCGAGAGAGAGACAGGAGAGTACATGGCAGTTGGGACGTACAGATAGACTAGTAAAAAACTCATGTGGCACCAGAAACGCCACATCGGCCCGGACATACAGGCCCAGGTAATCAGATTCACTGTCAAAACGCTCTCAGCCCAGGAACAGTGTTATTTCATGACCCAGCCCCCAAAACGGTATTTCTTTGTTACCGCTTTCCTGAATGTGGTCGTTTTTTGTAATTTACTCGTTAAATTAAGACCCCACCAAGAATTGGACCAGTCCACTAAATACTGATCATAGCAGTTAGCATTGTTCTATACCGACTATAGCATTGGACTCCCTTCCCCAAGCATAATTTACAACTAAGAACTAACATGACTGTAACCCTCAATTCTAGGCCCATGTTCAGCCTGGTAAGATTCACAGAACAAACCTCACAGACAAATATTAAGGCTGAGATTTAGCATGAGAAAACAAGTTAATGATCACTGTCCATGGACAAGTTTCTCTAAATAAAGCATGAGCTGAGTGTTTGAAGAAAAGCAGATACCGGCAAACCTTCCTCTCGCAGAATATCTTTAGTTGCTTGCATAAGTCCAGTGTACTTGGAAGGTCCATAGACATCCCTCCGAAGTACACCCCATTTTGCCGTCGGCTCTAATTGAACCTGAAAAAGCCATTGAAGAGCATATCAGTAACCAAAATATGATTATAGATTGCTACAGTTAGGCTGCACCCAACGCAGTTATGAGTGCTTCAATACAACGGTCAAGATTTAGAAAAGAAGTCATCAATCTAGTGAAGAAAACACGTCGGAAAATACTATTCTGCTGTATAAAGAGCGTAATCAGTAGGTATCCAACTAAAATAGATTCCACCATATTGCAATGGTCTGACAAATAAGACCCCTAAAACAAAATCAACCAAAACTCCCACAAAATGATCATCTGAGTTTATGTAACAGTGTTCAAACCAAAAATGGTGATGTAACACGAAACATTTGCAAACGAATAGGCAGCTCTGTGTGGAATCAAGGGTGAACAAACCACAAATAGGACGGTAATAAGAAGTGGTATTAAGAAGGTACAGGAGGCAGCTCTTCAGCATCCCAAAGTGTTAAGGGAGCTGCCAGAATGCTACATTATCCCCCCAAGGAAATCCTTACGAGTATGGAGTGTCAGCGTTAGGTAAGCTCGTCATAAGTCGGTTTACCGAAGTGATGCTCCAGAAATACCGATTCTCGCAGTCACATCATAATTCAACAGCAGCTCTGACACATCAAACTGAGCACTAAAGGATTCAAACAGTGACGCCCAGGTACGCTAAACAGTAGAGAATTATTCGAAACCCCACCATGCTTAACTAAATTGTGGGCGTGTGCTACCCGTTCCTTCAAGCAGTACCAAATGGACCAAATGCACCCGCAAAATTCCCCAAACCAGGCAGCTCCCCCACGCCCGTCGCGAATCCACGCAGACGCGGACACCCGGGGCCTCCTGAAGCCCCTCGGCCCCGATTTCCCGGAGACAAACAAATGCACGCGTGAAGACGCGGAGACAGCCGCATCCATCCAGCGCACGCGCAATCCACACGGCTTCCTCATACCCGAAACCACGGAAATTCTCCCAAACATCCCCAGCCTGGCGGCCCGACGAATTCGAGGCTACCGGCTCCCGAATTGAGCGACGGGGAAGCAACCGAAATTGGAGGGTGGGTTCAAGGGGGAGGGGGAGGGGACCTGGAACCGGATTTTGATGACGTCGAGGGGGGAGGTGACGGTGCGGGAGATGCCCCCGGAGATGGCGCCCGCGAGCGTGTCGACCAGCGCCCGCCGCGTCTGCGACGGCTCCTCCGCCGCGCCCGCGCCCGCGCCCATGGCGACGGCGGCGCGCAGAGGGACGAGGGGGCGGGCCTGGGCGGGGGCGGCTTCCGGATTCTGGCTTCTGGGAAGGAGGCGGCCAGGCCAGGTCTGTCGCCTCTCTCCCTTTTGGCTCTTCGGACGGTGGTGGGCGGGCGGGCGAGCGGGCCAGGTTTCCGTTTCCGTTTCCTCTCGGCCGAAGGCGGTATCTTTGTACTGATCCATAAATCGCGCTCTTTTCTTTTCAGTTTCCACATTTCTGACCCCTTTTTGGCTCGAGCTTATGTCAATCAGTGGTCTCTAATTTTGACCCCAGCCGAGCCCTGTCGTTGAAGTAAGGCGTCCATATTATTTATATGCGGGGTACGTAGGGCGTCTATATACATATTATGAGTTTGTCTAATTCACATCTAGATGTTTTCTAAGACTGTCACATCTAACCTCCCACAAATAACACAGCAATAAGAAACAACAAAATAAACTGGGACAAAAAAAATCGACCACAAACATAATGGACATCAGGTTAGAAGTGACGTAACCATGTCACATCTAGATGTGTCCTAAACAGACCCATATATTATTCCCTACCCTTCTTTTTAGACGTTTAAATACATACGTAGTACATGTGCATGTATATACACATATTTTAAAGAGTAGATTCACTAATTTTGTTCCTACGGGAAAAAAAAACACTCACTTTGCTTTGTATGTATTCCCTCCGTCTCATAATATAAGAGCGTTTTTGACACTACACTAGTGTAAAAAAACGCTCTTATATTATGGAACAGATGGAGTTGTATATATTAAAAATATTTAAAAGGCTTATATTTAGGAACGGGAAGAATATTACTATTATTGTTGACTTTTGGTCCCTTTCAATCAAAATTCTGGTGCAGAATCTCTCACCGTCGTCCCTTTAGTGAAATTTGATTGGTCGTGGGGGGTGACAACAGACGCATTGCTCTCCGATTGGTCATGCTAAAAAAGAAAAAGGTTTATATTCACTGTTGAATAGAGAAAAAGGACCCCCGCAAAAAAAAGAATAGAGAAAAAGGAGTGTGCCTTATCCCCCTACAAAAAGGAAGTGCGTCGGTATTAACTCTGTTGTTGAGTGCGGAGTGCCACCTTCCCACCTAAAACGGCTCAAGCAAACGCCTGTTTTTCCTTTTTCTTTTTTTTTCTTGATGAGGAGGATTACATCAGGCAAATGCTCGTGAGAGGCAGACGACGGGGCGTGGACCTCGTGTATGACGGATGCGTCGTGGACCTCGTGGTCTCGTTCGTGCGATTTTTTTTCAATTCTTTTGAGGAGGATGCATGAGATGAGATATTCTGGAGGCGACGTGTGTGCCTGCCTGGCTGCGGATGCTGGTGCTCGGCGATGGCGCTCGCGTCGCGTGCCAAACTTCCAAGGGGATGGGGCCGCATGGTCCAAAACATAATATAGGTACGTGTCACTCTCCGGCAGGTCCACCGATTTGCGCTGCTACATACTGTACACCGGAACCTCGGCGACATCTGCCGCGGCTTGCACGTGGTTTGCCAAATTCGGGCGTTTCATCGGGTTGCTTTAGCCGACTTTTCTGCTCAACGAACGGACGTTATTATAGTGCCCAACGCTCGATCTTCAGCCGCGCACCGTCGAATGTGCCGTCGTTTCTTGCTTGTTGCCGCACCCACCTCCCCCGGTGAATGGTCATGGACCTCGTGTATGATGGGTCGTGAACCTCGGCGACATCTACCACGCATCGTTTTTTGAGGGTGTACTGATGTAGACATCATTTTTACACGTATTACCTTATAATAATCCCTAAAATAAAACTTATTGCACATCTAGACGTGCTTTAGCAAAACTGTAATAAATATCATTATTACACGTATCGTGCATATATAAATCAAGGAAAAAGTCCAAAACAAACCTTAAACTTGTAGACCAAAGCTAAATCAAACCCTGAACTTTAAATTCCTGAAATTAGCACACTGAATTATCTAATCCCGGTCTATTTTAAACCTTAAGTGCCTTCCCAAACAGGGATCATCCAGAACCCGGGATGGTTGGCTGCGGCCAGACTGGGCCGGCCGATCAGGCAGGGCAAAGCATGTTTTTTTTTTTTGCAACATTTTTTCCGAACCGTGCCACATAAAAACGTTGAAAAAGAAGAGAATTGTGAATCGAACTTCCGACAAGACGCTAGTACAGTTCTCCTGCTAGCCACTCTAACTAATTGCCGTTGCTGAGACAAGTAAAGCGTGAAAATATTTAAACCAATGCAGCGTGGAGATTTGAAAAAAAAAATCTACAATTGTCTGAAACATTTTCTTGAAAATTTTAAACAATTTCGCAATCCAAATATTCTTGAAATAAAAAACCAATTTTTTAAATACAATTTTTCCAAAAAAATTGACATTTTTTTTTATTACGAGCAGTTTTAGAAAGACATGACTTTTCTAAACATGAACCATTTTTTAAAAGCCCCGAACATTCTTTAAAGTGTGAACCCTTTTTGGCAAAAAAAGGAAAAAATGTTGAAAACACAAACAATTTTGAAACCTGAAAAAAATACGATTCCTTCCCCATTATTAAGTTTTTTAGAAAATGTTCACATTCTAAAATATTATTCAGGATCCAAAATTTGTTCCGATTTTTAAAAAATATGATTATGTTTAAAAAAATTCATGCTTTCCAAAATTGTTCTCAATTCAAAAAAATCAGGTTTAAAATTGTTACTGATTTGAAAAAAAAAATCACGTTTAAATGGTTCATGCATAAATATATTCAGGGATTTCAAAATGGTCACGTTTGAAAATGTGTTTGTGTTTAAAAAAAATCATAATTCCAAAATTTGTTTACACTTTTGCAAAACATGTTCGGAATTTTAAAAAACTGTATTTTGCTTTTAAGAATATCCCGATTTCAAAATCGTTGATTATTTTAAAGAAAATGTTTTCAAATTTTTTAAATGTTTTCGAATCTCGATGCTAATTACTCTGATTAAATATGTTCGCTCCTTTCACTTGTCACTAACGGTAATTAGGTGGAGAGGTTACGCCGTGAGTTTAGTAGCGCCGGATCTCAGGTTCGATTCCCCACTTGTATTTTTCTTTTTGGTATTTTTCAGTCAAAAGAACAACATGTTTCACGTTTGGTGGGCCGGCCCAGTCGCCAGCGATCCCAGTTCGACCAGCTGCCACGTCGACAATCCCTCCGGAAAAACGCACAAGGTTTAATTTAGACCGGGATTATATAGTTCGGTGTGCTGATTTCAAGGATTTGAAGTTCGGGGTTTGATTTAGCTTTGATCTACAAGTTCAAGGTTTATTTTGGACTTTTTCCATAAATCAAAAATATCAAACAAGATAGCGGATATCTCACGTGACATGCCCACTAGTACATACTCCCTCCGTCCCATAATATAAGAGCGTTTTTTACATTAGACCGACAAAAACGGTCTTATTATTATGGGACAGAGGAGTGAGTAGATGACAACAATTCTTTCTTCGAAAATAATGACAAATAAGATTTTGTATTGACAACATCCTTGTATCTTCCTAAACGTGTATATAATACATCATTTATAATCTTAAGAGTAAGTATCTTCTGAAAAATTCTTAGATGGTTTCTTAATTAATCTACTAATAAACTGGGAGTCCAAATTCGTTATGCTCAATCTAGAATTATACATCATCTTCACTAAAAAAAGATGTTTTGAACAAGAATCTAGAATTATGCTCAATCTAGAATTCTTAGA